AAATCTATTCCGCCAAGACCAAATACATTAACATTGTCATGTACATTACCATGCCAATCCCTTCGAGAGTTGTCATGACAGAAATATACGTATATATATATATATGCTCCTTAGAGTTTGTGCTTATTTGTGTTGCCGCGATGCACCAGCACCACTTAAAATAGAAATCATTATGTTACGTTTCTTCCTGTTGTTTCAGAGATTAAAGGCACATTCACTTTCCCAAATAGTCTGCAGTAACGTGGTAAATGCTAAAATGTGGGGTTTTAATAATGTTAGCGTTCTGACCTGACGCGGGGCCCGGTGCGAGGTAGGGAGCGGGGCCCCCCTCGCAGGGGCGTGTCTAGAGGGGTGGCACGGTCCCCCCTCAAAATATGCTTGGCCCCCCCTTGTGCCCCCCCAACAGCGCAGACTGATCAGAGTATAATATCTGCGGTGCGGGAGCAATTTGGGTGCATTTAAAATCTCACACGCTGCCGCTGAAGTCATGCGCTAATTAGCAGCGTAGTGCCGCTTGAAATAGAACACACCTACTCACTGTCTGGTTCGCTGCCAATTATTTCCCATATTTACAACGCAATTGGATTAGAGTGCTGTCAATTTCACAGCTCAAACAGGAGAAGCGAGATTTCGCAGGCTGCAGACCATGTCTCTGTTCATTGTAAGTATTAAATTATAATTATAGGCCTATATAGAAATCATTATGTTACGTTTCTTCCTGTTGTTTCAGAGATTAAAGGCACATTCACTTTCCCAAATAGTCTGCAGTAACGTGGTAAATGCTAAAATGTGGGGGTTTAATAATATTAGCGTTCTGACACTTGGAATTATAAGATGTAGAATAGTAAAGACATGTTTGTACTGAATAAACAAACGTTTTTGCGTGGTAGTCTTATATATTTTTTATTATTTATTTATGTCCAAGAACAGCTTCACATTTAAATGATTTTGTCTTTAATCAGATGAGAAAATGGCTTTTACTATTTGTGTAATATTGATCATTAAGTTAGAGGGTTGTTTTACGGTCCCCCTCAGTCCGTTCGCCACGGGGCCCGGTGCAACCGCACCAGTTGCTCCCCCCTAAGGATGGCCCTAGTCTCCACAGTCAAAACCTTTGCAAATGCATATTACTCCACAAAACACACAGTGTGGTCGGCATGGCATGTTTATTGTGGTATTATTTTGATATAAATACTAAATATTATGTATAAATATTGTCAGTAAATATGTAATTGGTTCCATCTTGTCAGATTGAAATTACTCTCTTTTATCTTTCACTGAAACCTTCACAGCCTCATATATGTATTGTCAGATCTTCCTGTGTTCAATCTTTTTGGAGTTTAATGACCCTCAGAGGTGTAATGTAAGGAAAGATTTTAATGGACCCTCACTTGAGACTGTCTGCAAGGAGCTTCATTTCTAGACCAGAGTTTGTCTGCCTGACTAATTTTAACCTCTGATTCCAAGTAGCCCCTCTCTCATTTGTCTTTGGCTGAAAGAACTGCTTTTAAAATGCGATCATGTTCCTGCTTGGAGCTTTACACCTTACTTTACGCTTCGTCCCCCCTCCTTTACCCCTCTCCTCTCTACGTCTTTTTTTTACAGCAGCACCTACAGCAGTTTGTCTGCAGGGCTGGCTGCCCTGAGTAGTTCTTGTTTTGTCTCTGTGCAGATACCGAAGCAAACAAAAGAATTGTTGTTATTGAGTTTTTCTATCCTGTAGTCTTTCACCTTAGTCTCTGGAGGCCATGTTCTTTTTTTTTAAAGGGTACTGCACTGACCCTCTGCCCTCGTGTGTACGTGTTTGTGTACATCTACGTCTGAGGGCTAGTCTTTTGTTTTAGTGCAAAACTACCATATCTTGGTCTTCAGTTAAAAATGTGTGTTGATCTGCCTGTGTTATTTTGAGGGAACCAAATCTCTGAAATATTCTATATTTTGAGACCTGCTTACTAAACATAGAGTATTAGATGATTAACGAAAATGGGTCATGTGACACTAATTTTTTTCTTCCTATCTGTTTATCAATTTATTTGAAAATCCATAAATAATACTACAAATAATGAACTTATTTATTTATTATTATTGTTATTGTTGTGTTCGGTTAGGATTTTATTTCTTGATTATGGTATTTCCTATTTCTGATTTTACATCCCCTGAAAATTTTTTTTTACAAAAAAAAAACAAAAAACATGTTCATCATAGAAGAGGTCAAGTCTTTGTATGGATAAACCTTATGTCTAATGACATTACATTTTGAAAAAAAAAAAAAAAAAAAAATAGAAATCATTATGTTACGTTTCTTCCTGTTGTTTCAGAGATTAAAGGCACATTCACTTTCCCAAATAGTCTGCAGTAACGTGGTAAATGCTAAAATGTGGGGGTTTAATAATATTAGCGTTCTGACACTTGGAATTATAAGATGTAGAATAGTAAAGACATGTTTGTACTGAATAAACAAACGTTTTTGCGTGGTAGTCTTATATATTTTTTATTATTTATTTATGTCCAAGAACAGCTTCACATTTAAATGATTTTGTCTTTAATCAGATGAGAAAATGGCTTTTACTATTTGTGTAATATTGATCATTAAGTTAGAGGGTTGTTTTACGGTCCCCCTCAGTCCGTTCGCCACGGGGCCCGGTGCAACCGCACCAGTTGCTCCCCCCTAAGGATGGCCCTAGTCTCCACAGTCAAAACCTTTGCAAATGCATATTACTCCACAAAACACACAGTGTGGTCGGCATGGCATGTTTATTGTGGTATTATTTTGATATAAATACTAAATATTATGTATAAATATTGTCAGTAAATATGTAATTGGTTCCATCTTGTCAGATTGAAATTACTCTCTTTTATCTTTCACTGAAACCTTCACAGCCTCATATATGTATTGTCAGATCTTCCTGTGTTCAATCTTTTTGGAGTTTAATGACCCTCAGAGGTGTAATGTAAGGAAAGATTTTAATGGACCCTCACTTGAGACTGTCTGCAAGGAGCTTCATTTCTAGACCAGAGTTTGTCTGCCTGACTAATTTTAACCTCTGATTCCAAGTAGCCCCTCTCTCATTTGTCTTTGGCTGAAAGAACTGCTTTTAAAATGCGATCATGTTCCTGCTTGGAGCGTTACACCTTACTTTACGCTTCGTCCCCCCTCTCCTTTACCCCTCTCCTCTCTACGTCTTTTTTTTACAGCAGCACCTACAGCAGTTTGTCTGCAGGGCTGGCTGCCCTGAGTAGTTCTTGTTTTGTCTCTGTGCAGATACCGAAGCAAACAAAAGAATTGTTGTTATTGAGTTTTTCTATCCTGTAGTCTTTCACCTTAGTCTCTGGAGGCCATGTTCTTTTTTTTTAAAGGGTACTGCACTGACCCTCTGCCCTCGTGTGTACGTGTTTGTGTACATCTACGTCTGAGGGCTAGTCTTTTGTTTTAGTGCAAAACTACCATATCTTGGTCTTCAGTTAAAAATGTGTGTTGATCTGCCTGTGTTATTTTGAGGGAACCAAATCTCTGAAATATTCTATATTTTGAGACCTGCTTACTAAACATAGAGTATTAGATGATTAACGAAAATGGGTCATGTGACACTAATTTTTTTCTTCCTATCTGTTTATCAATTTATTTGAAAATCCATAAATAATACTACAAATAATGAACTTATTTATTTATTATTATTGTTATTGTTGTGTTCGGTTAGGATTTTATTTCTTGATTATGGTATTTCCTATTTCTGATTTTACATCCCCTGAAAATTTTTTTTTACAAAAAAAAAACAAAAAACATGTTCATCATAGAAGAGGTCAAGTCTTTGTATGGATAAACCTTATGTCTAATGACATTACATTTTGAAAAAAAAAAAAAAAAAAAATAATATGTTTATTAGGCAATCTCAAAATGTAGATGATATGTATGTATTTATTTATTTATTTGGGGAAAATGTTTTAACACTGCATTAATATTTAAAATAAAATGTTTGTCTGCAATATTAAAGTAATTTGGTGCAACCAAATGCAGAAAAAAGGTATAAAAGTTGTTTTACCATATTAAACCTGCATAAGAGAGTGCATTTCTAAGAACTTGGGACACGTCTTCTAAAGTATATTTTTTCTTTAAACTATATGTTTCCTTAAAAAAATCCTTTTTTATTGTGGTGAAACTTATTTACACAAACATGCTAAGTAAAAAAGCAATTGTCAATGCAAAGTCTCCTGATAGATAAATGATAGAAATATTTAATGACTTCTACCATGACTTCTACTGTAATGACTGCTGACCATTTGCCTGGCTAACTGTGTGTGTGTGTGTGTGTGTGTGTGTGTGTTTTGCAGGAAACAAGAGCTGCTGACCATCTCCAGTGTGCCTCTAGGAGAATGTCCACCCTCACCTCCCCGCACTGCACCACCCACCATGAAGGTGAGTGTTCTGGCCACGCAGTCACACACACACACACACACACACACACAAACACCGCTCTATTAGCTGCTGTTAGCTGAAATTTGCTGCATTCATCTCCCAGGCACACCTTTGTACTGAATTAACCTCTATTAGCTGTGATAGCATGAGAAAGTGAGAATGCCCTTTGTAGCATGCCATATAAAATGACCCTCCTTTCACTACAAAAATGTCAGCATGCTCTTACATAATGCCTCTTACTGATTTAGGCATGCACATTAACCTGCGGTACTGTCTGTGAAGGTTCATGCGGTGTGTTTGAGGTAAAGCTCTTCATTCAAGGTTACCTCTAAATGTAATGGTAATTCATTTGGACTGAGAAATCCATTTTTTTTCAGAGCATTAAGGTCCCACTGAGTTCACATGGTATCACTATCTCTTTATATTTGAAACAGCCTCGAGAGGGACTGGAAAGATTTTCTGTCTTGTTTAAAAGTGGTACACTGAGTTCAGAGATGGATTGTGTGGTGTGAGCAGTCGGTGTCACCTTGAAAAGAGACGCACTTGCCGAAAAATCAGAGGAGGGAGAGATTAGTGTTTATGCATGGAGGGGGAGGGTGTGAGGCCGAGGCATCAGGTGTGATATTAAGATGAGAAGACATGAAGTCGAACCCAGAGGTCATGATCCTGTTAGCCAGTGCTTTAATTATGAAAATTTTTTCTCATAAGGGCTGATTAAATGTCTGAGGCACAGAGCACTTGTTGAAAAATCATACTTGAAATTTATTAAGGTCTCCAGGCTTTTGCTTAGTTATTACCTGTTGTTGGGGGATTTGAGGATTTATAAATAGCTTTAATATGTGCCTTTCTTGTGAGCAGCTGTTGTAAATTCAGTAAAGTATTTTTTTAAGAACTTATTTCACAATGAAACATAACAATGATCAAAATGAACAGTAAAGACGTTTATAATGTTACAAAAATTATTACAAATAAATGCTGTTCTTTCAACTTTCTGTATCACCATTTCCAGAAATATTGTAAGCAGCACAACTGTTTTCAACATTGAAAATAATACTAAATATTTTTATTCCAAATCAGCATATTAGAATGATTTCTGAAGGATCATGTGACACTGAAGACTGGAATAATGCTGCTGAAAATTCAGCTTTGCCATCACAGAAATAAATAACATTTTAAAGTACATTATAATGTAAAACAGTTATTTTAAATGGAAATAATATTTCACAATATTGTTGTTTTTACTGTGCATTTTTGATCAAGTAAATTAACTTTTGGTGAGCGTCAGATGCTTCTATTCAAATTATTATTTTTTTTAATTTACCGACCCCAAATTTTTTAACAGTAGTATATATATATATATATATATACAGTGGTGTGAAAAAGTGTTGGCCCCCTTCCTGATTTCTTATTTTTTT